TAAAATGCAGTGCCCTATGTTTTCACCCGCAACTGAAATTAACTAAAACAAAACTATATTAACCTAATAGCAGTCGCCCGCGAATCCGTTCGAGGGGAATTAAAAAAAAACATTTTTAGTAGCCTATGTGTTCTTTCAAACTATGTTTTATATGTATGCCAAATTTCATCGAGATTCTTTCAGCCGTTATAGAAATATCTTCAAACAAACATCCATTAATTTATCCATTTAAACATTAGTAAGAGTTAAGAAGTAAGATGTATAATAACCTTGCTAAAAGTTGGTATGGTAATGTTAAAAATAATAATTAAAATCTGAAAAGCTTTTTCTAAGACAATATATAGTTATAAAATAATTCTATTATTTTCTTATCTTAAATGCCTGATGCTACTAAATATTCGTCTCCAATTTTACCCAAAACCACAATACTTATTAAAATGACGTAATTATTTTTTTTTCATCCGCATTCAAATCGAACCCTCATAACTTTCATTTCAGCGAATTCAAACTTATTTAAACAAATTAATTCTAAAGATAGCATTTCAGTGCTGTAGGAACTGAATAGACTAACAAGCTCTCTCCGACCCAGAGAGCTTCACGTATATATTTATATCAACTACTCAAGTCTATTCATAAATGTAATGAACCTTATTTATACACCTATACTAATTAAATTTCAGTGAAATAATTTTATTACTTATAATTTAATCACGGATCCTAATAATAGATTGCCAGCAGTTATGACATAGATTCTAGATAACATAGCATAAGGTCACCAGAGACTCCTCTTCGGGTCATACATTTAACTTCCTGATTACAGAAATGATTACAATTTACGTATTAATTGTTGAAAAGAAATTGATTTTGTTAGTATGTAATCCATATATATAAAAATCAATTGTTGTTCGTTTGTCACGATAAAACTCGAGAATTGCTGAACGGATTTATCTTATTTCATGTCTTAAATTGTTCGTGGAGGTCTAGAGAAGGTTTAAAATATGACAACATCATCATCATCGTCGTCATACTCAGCCTAAACTTGTCCACTGCTGGACGTAGGCCTCCCCCATCGATTGCCACAATGCCCGGCCCTGTGCCGCCCGCATCCAGGGACTCCCGCAACCTTGACCAGGAAAATATAACAAAAATACGAGTAATTGCCGGGAACTAATTAGGTCTTTTTTAATACCACGTGAACGGAGTCGCGGGCAGCAGCTAGTGAAGCTAATAAACTTTGCGTTTACGCAAATTGTCTTTCACTTCAATTTGCAAAGTTTGTTTTAATTTTAGCTTCATCATAAAAGAGAAAGGGATATGTTATGTTTGTTTCAAGAAACACAGGATATGGGAAAGGAAAGTGTGAATAGTTAACAAATATACATTTAACGCCTTGAATTTCATGACACATTTTATCTAATATTTTTTGTTATAAAGCCAGCAATACACCATCTGTCAGACCAATGCAATTTTTTATGTATTGTGCGTAACATTCTTGAATCCAAATGAAACATATACTGGATGTAGGTTAGAATAAGTGTTTAGTTTCTAATACTTCAAAATGAAATAAAAAAAATTCTCCCATATAAAATTATTGCAAGTCATGTTTCAATAAGAAAGTTTAGAATCAAACATTAAGACGTAAGTGTTACATCCATTTGTATAGTAACTCACGTAACTATGACATTACAAACCTTATAAGCAGCGAAGTATTTGTTTAAGGTAAGTTTCCACTGCCGAAACACTCTGAAGAGCATATAGTTATCAGTTATCATTGTTTTTTCGTTGAGAATGAGAGAGACGGCATAATTTCAATACAAGTATTCCAACAGTGAAATCCCACGGTTATATTGATATTTACATAATTGTATTGGATAATAGAACTAATAAAGTTTCTATTAACTTTCCAATGCGTCGAGTGTTTAATGAATTTGACTTTATCTAAAAACTGATTAAACCTACCGATGTTGTATACACATACATAGTTTATTCAACGATGTTTTTGCGGGTTACTTCAATTCCAATGTTTTTGTTACGTTAAATTTTCAAGCTTTAAAATAGGACTGGCTATAAATTCTCAATGTGTAGTTAATAGTATCTACCCTTATGTAGCTCCCGAAAAGAATGCCACTGAAATATCACGTTCTTTTCCACCGGCCAAAATGTATCGATAAAATTGGTATGATTTAAAAATGTAATCTAAAAAAGTACAGATCCCTTAAATCTGTACACACAAATTCATTAAATTTTTCCATTCTATTTTTTAAAACAAATTGAAGTCAAAGTTAACGCTAAGTTAACACCAAAACAAATGTCAACCGGCTTTCGCTAACAAAGCTAGCGAGCACAAAACGCGCAATCCGCGAACGCGTTAACGCGGCTTGGCCCCGAGCCAAGACAAAACAACAAGCTCGCACAAGCGGCGCTGAAAAAGCTCCGCTGAAAATCAGCTTATACTAGTTTCACACGAGGGCAAAACTTTGCAGCAGAATGGTAGATAGTGCTGTACCTACTACTATTGTTTGAACCACACATACAGTTTGCTGTTCAGTGTAAGCGATGTGCGTAAAAACAGTAGAAGTACTGCGATGTCTCACTTCTGCCCTCGTGTGAAACTAGCATTAGTTATAACGAACGCGTTGCCCCCGAGGCTTTGATGTAATTTTAAAGAAGCGAAAATTCCATAGCTTCCATTTAAAATGAGGTTTTTTATTTTACCTTTTGTGGGTTTATTTTTAGCACGTGCATGGACATAAACATATTTAAACTGATAAAACAAACACGGCTAAACAATCACGTATATTCGTCCGGTGGCGGCACCGACTAGTTTCGAGCCCATCGGGGGCCCTTCATCAGGATGAGTGGTACTGGTATTATTAGTATAGTGAGCGACGGGCCGCGTCCGCGAAATAATACCAGTACTCATCCTGATGAAGGGCCCCCGATGGGATCGAAACTAGTCGGTGCCGCCACCGGACGAAAATACGTGAGTGTTTAGCCGTGTTTATATATCAGTTTAGTATAATGTCTCACGAAAGTTTGAATAATTGAATAAATATATTTGTTCAAACATGCAAAAATATCAATAATTATTTAGTTTTACCGATCTAATAGCGTTATATAATTTTATAAAAAAAGAAACGCTGCTTTCAGCACGATAATTAGAATCTTACCGCTAATACCTAATAAAGCCAACGTTCCAGATATAACAGACGGCTGTCAATACCACTCGGTCCGATCGCAACGTTCAAAAAGTGAAAGTTGGTCAAATGATCTTTTAGAACAAGTTCCGTTTACGACGCTGCGGTGTCGGAAATTGACTTACGCACGCCTCGTTAACAATGGCGATGATGAATCGATTTAAAAATCCCATAATGCTCTCTCATTGTCATTTTAAATGATCATTTTTAAGCTAGTTAAAAATAACAAAAAAAATTGTTTCTGTGACGGAATTGATTACTTAACGTTGTTCAGACCATTCTTGAAACGCCTCTGACTTATCAATTTCATTATTTACATAGTAAATACTAGCTCTTCGTAAGTTTTATAACGTTCTTATACACGAATATCGTTTGATTAATCTATATCTCATGTACTAAATAACAATCAGCAAATAACAAGATAATAAATTGATCAATTTACCAGAGAATAAGATCCATTATTGAGTTATTAATCGAAGCACAAATAATAATAGAAAGTAAATTAACAAAGACGTCTGTTTATCTTGTCCAAACGTTACTTGGTATAACCAAACGACACACCTCTATTATGTTCAGCATATTTAATCCTCAGGCAATATCTTTGTCTAATAGCGTTCCTTTTAACTTTTGAATGACTAAAAATGGAACAATTTAAAACGAAACATAATTAATATTGTTTTTTTTTAATCGTAAATGAGACTCGATAACTTAAGATTAGTGTGAATATAACTTTTAACAGAACGTTTAGTTTATTCTCCTTTCGATGTGATACAGTAACTTCTGCGATTTAATAATGAATTAAATTTTTCAATTTAAAAAAGACATTATTTTTGTTGTATAAAGATTGATAATTAAGAGTTACGAACATGCAAACACGTCTATTTTTTTTATTTTTGTCTTTTCATTTTAATGATAGACATGCATTATGTAAGACTCCAGTTTTATTGTTTCCGAGTAAATAAATCTACAAATGAAACAAAGTAAGGTTCCCTACCATGGTAGATTAATAATCTAACCATGGATTTCAGAGTCCAAAATCTCCGTTTAAAACATATTATTATCTCTGTATTGTCAAACATAATGAAAGGTATGACAATATGTTTTATACGGGGATTATAGTTTCGGAAAACCACGGTATGTGTCTTGATCAAATGAGAAATCTGTAGACACGTTAAACATGCAAATAGATTATAGGAACAAGATTGTAGTGTATAGGTAAATTATGTTATGATTATTTTACTAGTATAGGTATAAAGCACTATAAATCAAGTGATAAGTTACTGGCCTTTAACAAAAGTAATAAAAAAGACGAAGTAAAGAGATAATGCAGTAGAAAGTTTGATGATGCCCATTGTAAAGACTGTCAATTTTTTATTTGCTTTATCATTTTTATTTTCCGTGTTCGTTTTTTAAACGCCAACATTGAGGTTGAAACCGTAAGAAGTGCGGAGTGTTGCTTTTGAAAATGCTCACCGTATTTCAAGTATTATTTTATAATTTTAAATGCAATTTAACAAACTAAAAAACTTGTAAAAAAAAGATCCGGAGCTGTTATTCCATAACATGGATGAATCTTGATACAGAAGTAGATAATTTTATTTTTGTTGCTTTTTTATTCCGCGCTACCGACGTGGCGGCCACAGACAAGTCTCCTTACAATACGAGACCGCACTTTAACCTCTAATAATGTGTTACATTATACAAAAACTCTTGGCAATTATATTTGGGTTTCAAATAAAATATTCGTAAATCATTTGGCGTATATTTTTATATTTTTGAGTACACATATTCTTTTAGAATAAAAACGTTACTTTATAATTTACACATAATTAGGTTATAATTTAAAACGGCTAATACGAACAAGTATATACAATAAAAACTTCATGATTATATCATTTAATTTTAGACGCAAGGTCGAGTGGCAATTTACTACAATCTAAATCCTATTTATCACATGTTCAAGGAGGATTTTTGTATTATAAAACTTTTTGTCATTCTTGATAGAGTTACCACCTTCGCTTTATCTACCGCTGTGGATATTTAAAACAAAAGAATATCATATATTAATAATTATAAAGTACTCTATTATTTTACAATTAACACTTAAGATTCAAGAGTTCAAACAATTCACGATATAATGACACGCTTAACCAGTTTTTATTTATTTTTTCTATTCATTACTTATCATAAAACTATTACTTACATTATAGTAGACAATGGAAATCATTCTTTAAAAAATAAAGGTATACATTCAACACTTAAAATAAATATTGCCCCTGAGAAACATCCAGGATCAGGCTGGAATTAAGCTGAAGTTTAGAAAACTGGTAACTAATTTTACTATCTTAATTTTAATTCAAGGTCAAATTAAAAAGTATTCCGGACCGACGTAGGAACCACACTTCGGGAAATCAGGTGGAGCTTGTACGAAGTCACTCTCCTCGCCGACTTTTAATACGAAGTCAAGTCCTCTCGTCCAATGAGCTGATCTTTCATCTCTCATCATCCAGTACCCAGGATTATCCGCCTCGAATCTTAGCGCCACGACGCCAAATTTTGGTATAACAATAGTATCTTTAATGACAGGATCGATTAAGTTTGTTGAAATAAATAATGTTCCTTTCTCATTCATTTCTTTGATTTGTTGCTTATCAATACTAGTGTTGAACTCGCGTATACCAACCACATAGAAATTGTACCCATGGAGATGGAATATGTGGTCTGATTCGCCGCCTGCAAGAATGAAAACCAATGTGTTAATTATCTTCGCCATAATAGTTATTGTTTGTTTTTTTAGATGCTTATCTATAGTATGTTTTAAATATAACTATGTATATTTTTTAATTAAAATTACAACTATTAGTTAAATGGAACTTCCCTAAATATTAAACTTGTTACGTCTTGTATATGTTAAACAAAGGGCACGTAATTGCTCTATTATTACCACATAAACCGAAAGGTAGGTGTCGAAATCAGTTATGCTATACATAATATAATTATGTAAGACGAATTTACGTTGCCTTGTGGTCTGACGTGCGAGAGCGTGTAAGGTGTAATTTTTATATAGGGTTTTTATTGATATTATAACTGTCTTGCAGAAATACTTAACCTATACTCATGACTTAATTTTCTTTTTGTATCTCTTATTTATTATATTAGCGTCGGTGGCTCAGGGGTCAAGCACTTGACTTCCAATCTGCAGGTCCTGGGTTCGAATCCCGCCATGTACCTATGTGTTTTTCGATTTCCGATTTACATATGTACATTTATCTGACGTTCTTACGGTGAAGGAAAACATCGTAATGCAACCTGCACATATCTAAAAAGAAATTCAAAGATATGTGTGAACCAACCCGCACTTGGCCAGCATGGTTGACTATGGCCTAATCACCCTTAACGTAGGGTAGGCTCCGAGCCCCTCGGTGGGGACGTATCATGAGCTGATGATGATGATGATGATCTCTTATTATCTACAGAATACGAAATAGACTACCGTGACTTTATTTTAGAATACGACACTACAATTAACTTTTTAATTCCAAATAAACACAACAACACAATCTCTTTGCCAGACTGAACTTAATTGAAATGTTTACATTTAATCCATTAATGCTACAATCAGAAATATAGGGTACAACGGAATGTACTCAAATTTATTATGCAATGCTCACATTGTTTGTGCTAATTAGCAAATGTTTGTCCACACTACAGCAATGTACAGGTGTTTAAATAATATAAGTACTTAAATACTCGTATGTTTCTAAGGTTAGTTCAAACATTACAAGACTTTTGAAAAATCATACTAATCCGACAAAACAATAAGAAAACTCCATCTAAGTTGAAATATAAAGTACTTGGTAAATGGTAGAACAGTAGTAATACAATTTAAAGGAGAAAATGAATCTTAATCGGTAGTAAAATCGTACTCTACCATTAAGTTCCGATCGGATTAGTGTTTAAGAGTAATCGTTTTGTAAATTACTTAAGTTTTCTCAGTTGGTACGTGCTTATTTGAGATTCGAGATTTCTCGACTTATCGTTTCGCATTGAAACGCTCGAATTATCTTCAATTTGTGCAGTTTTCACGCGTTCTCAAAACATCTTAGAAACTTATAAAAACCAATAAGTTTCATTTGGTCATTTGTGTAAAACACATGGCTATAAGCTAATGTACTTTAGTATCACTATAGCGAGCCTCGAGTGACTTTTAGGGATGTCAAAGAAAGTAGTATGTACTACGACTAGACTAGTAACATGACTTCACAAATCCAATAAAGTTAGCTATCAAATGGATAAGAATTCATAATATCAGGGAATTATTTCGATTTCTACAAACTTGTAATACTATTAAATTAGTATTTCTCATGTATTTTCACTCTGGAAATAATATTGTAAAGCTACTTTCTACTGGGAATATTCGTGCGATTTGAAATTAGCCCCTGGGGAAATTGTACACTAACATTTTACTATCCGTGCGCGTAATGTTTTAAAATTGTTTTGAAACTTAAAATTAGTGGAAACAGCAGTCGATTATTAATGTTAGTGGAACAGAGTTTTAGTGTATCTATACGAGTAACGTCAACTCTCAAAAGGAACACTCACTATCAGTATATCGTGGATTTTTTCATTTAACATTTTTACATAATATCTCTTACATCTAGAGCTTCATAGAATAAGTGCTTTACAATCATTATTTATCTATTCATAACTGTTTAAAGCTGAGGTTTATTAATGTACCAATAATTGAAACATACAGTATGTATCATTACTACGCGAAAATAAAATCAATGAACTGTCCGCATTTCGCATCCGCGCAATAAATACTTATGTCGCAACCGGACAAGTCATCACGAGAAAGTTAACATTCAAGTACTTGACACAGGTCACAGCGAAATACCTATAAGCTTACCAAAGGTCGTATGATAATTATATACACATATAAACCTACATATAATAAATACATGTACTATGTAGCTCAGCATCAATTCAGCGATGTTATTTCTCAGTCACGTCCCTTCCATACAAACTTTAGATTGCAATTTCGTGAGTAGATTTTAAATCTTTACATCCTAATCCGGAAGAAGCTTTCCATTAAAACTTTATTTTATTTGATTCTACTTGACGTTTTTGCCTTTTATTCTAAACTTACTCTTTACTTAATTTTTTTTAACAAGCTGACTACACCTTCTCACCTAATTATCACATTAAGGATCCGTGTACTTCTTTTTTCAAGAAATCAATCAGGCGTTATGAGTATATTAATTTTAACTTGTCATTACTATAAATTGTTTGTAGTTAGAGTAATAACATATCTATTATTATATTATTAAAAAGATTAGTAATGATAATAAATTACATAACTTTGTAAAAAAAGAAAAGTCGTTTACATTGCGACATCGCACGAGTTAATTTCACGGTTATGGTCAACTTCGTAAAAGTTAAATTATCAATTCGAAATTTGTATTTGTCATAACATAAACTTTTATTTTTATTTAACTTTTTTTTACAAACAGTGCAGTGAATGGATATTGAAATTGAATATTACCCAACTCTCACTTTCATATAATAAACATATTGGCAGCATTACTTGTAGAGGTTGAAGTATCGAATTGCCGTAAAAAAAATTGAAGATAGAATCGCATTTTATAAAACGCTATGTGTTTTATTTTATCCGTATCTTAATAAAAATCTGAAATAAAATAACAGAATACGAAGCATTAATAATAACGTATTTTATTTAGTCTAATTAGTAGTTTTATTCACCACAATTAAAAATAAATATAAAAGATATTATAGTGCATATTTTTAAATGGCATTTATTTGCAGTTTAGAATTATCTTGCAAAACTACTAAAGTAAGTAATTTCGTCTTATTGTTTTTATTTCTGTTATTTTGTTTAAAAATTACCATAACTTACATCGCATACTCACTTTATTTGCAAATTTTTGAAAAAACGAATCTAATAATAGTTGTAAAATAACCTAACAGCAAAAAAACAGATAATTTAGAGGAATAGTAAAAGTTTTGTTGTAACTTCACAAAGACAACGGATATTTACAATAACATTTGAACCTATAAGCAAAGCGGACACCAACACATTAGTCAATAGACTTAGTTACACAAGTGCCGATGAGAATATTGACACCAACAGACATCTTCCGTCAGGCAAAGTACTAGGAAAACATATGTTGCAGAACTTTCAACAGAATACCGTCAATGCCTTTTATCTGTAAGACAAATAGCTCGTTTGCTATACGAATAAAAATTCCTATCTTACTTCTTACGAATAATATAAATGCGAATGTTTAGATATATGGATGTTGAAGATATATCTTGAGCGGCTCAATGGATCTCTATGAAATTTGACATACATACGAGTATAACATATAGTCTGGAAGAACCCTTAGGCTGCTAATTTTTTCTTAGACCGTGCGGAGGGAGTCGTAGGCGACAGTGTGATTTATAAAATCAATACTCTAGTAAGAAAATTATCAAGTTTTTTTAAATATGGGCTAATTGTTTTTTTATCAAATTCATCTGGTTTTTCTTCAGAGGAGACATAATGACACATTTGTTATTTATTATCGATTATTTTAAAGTACGTTACAGACTATCTTTAACAATTCAAATAAACAACACAGTCCACGTATAAAAATCACAATAATAACCAACACCACTTAAAGACACTTTAAAAGGTGTTGAACAAACTTATTTAGCATGAACAAACACCTTGACAGCGTCTCAAGTCTAAGTCTTCATACGAGCTCTTTGCTAACTAAATAATCTCCATAAAGGTATACTGGAGATGATGAACATACGCATTGGTTAGCGTTATTTTAGAAAATTTGTATTTAAATAAAAATTAAAAAAGAAAACTGTCGGCCGCGACACAGGCCGCGCGGAATTAAAAAAAAATTAATAAGTAGCCTGTGTGTTATACCAGCCGAAGTTCTACGTATATGCCAAATTTCAGCGTGAACCGTGCACCCGTTTTGGATATACTTTCAAACAAACATTGGTATTTATAATATAAAGTAAAATTAGTAAGAATTAATTTATACATAATCTGAATATGTATAATTAAAATAATAAAATACAATAATCTGTATTCCCTTTGTGATTAAAATTCACGCTTTAGCAATGTTCAACACTAACAGTGCGTCCCGGAGGCCTAATTTAGTCCTCTTTACCTTCCCACCCTTTTTATTATAAGGAAAGGATGGGAAGTGGGAGTGGACTTTCCGGATGAGAGGGTGCATGGAAAGGGAAAAATATTTTCTTTCTGTGCATCCTCTCCTCCATCAATTAAAGGTAGGCAACGCACATGCAATTGCCTATGTCTATGGGCAACGGTCACTTCGCTATTTCAGCGATTTCAGGTGGCCGCTCGCTCGTTTACCACCTTAGGATAAAAAAAAATAACAACATAATTAATGTGAATTAAGATATTAGCAACAATAAGCTAATACTTTGAATAATTCTCGATATTAGTACGAAAAGAGGAAATTAAATAACATTTAAAGGATATAGGAAATGCGACCTCTGCAATTGTAAATCATTTAATCTATTATAAAATAGTCGTGAATTATTCATAAGGTCGTATAATTCATTACATTTTGATTATACGTAACATTCCATGACCTCATAAATAATTCATAGGTTGACCGTACGAGAACTTTTGTAACATAAATTTTTATTGTTATTTTATCCTTGTAATGTTAAACTTTTAGCTAAATTTTAAATTCTATTCTCATAAACTTAGTTCAGACATAACTAATTAATCAAACCAAAATAAAAATTATTTTTAAAATGAAACTCACGTTTACTAATAATTTTATGTAAAATATATCTGCTACATCTAAATTCTTAATGTTGTGTATTATGTATAAAGCAGTGGTTCCCAAACTTATTTTGCCTACTGCCCACTTTGAGAATCAATATTTTTTTAGCGCCCCCATATTTTCACTTATTTAAAAACCACTATAACTTCAAATTAAATTAATTAATTATTGTGACCTATATTTGTATATTAACGGAGAATTCTAAACGAAACTTTTACTATAACCCGCAACTTGAGACCTGCAGCGCCCACAAGGGGGCGTTTTCGCCCACTTTGGGAAAGACTGGTATAAAGCATACTGAGAAAATAATGATATGGCAAAGTTCTCACTGCCGAAACATCTATACAAAACATATTGTTATCTCTTTTTTTGTCATTAACGATGAAAGGGATGCCAGTATATTTTTACTCAAGCGTTTCGGCAGTAGAACGGTGTCATAAACATTTCTTACCTTGATCAAACATAACCAACTCAACAGTAGACCTCAAAGGAATGTTCTTAATGTGAACACATTCGTCGTCGTTGGAGCCTCGGGCGCAGATTGCTTCAGAGGCCACGTCACTACCCTGCGTCAGCAGGGGAGATGCAGGGTACGTGAAACGGAAGCCGTCAGTCTGACCCCAACTCTCTGCAACGGAATATGAGGTATTGTATAAATGACATCTGAGAAGTCATCAAGTAAACTTGTTATGAAATACGACCGACAATTGAGGTTACAGTGGTTTACTGTGTATAGCAGAATTTACTGAATTAACATAAAATCAATGCACGAGTAGTATGTCGTAGACCAATGTAACGTCACGAATATAATCGAACTAACCGTGGGTTTCTGGCACCAAGATCCCTGTTCAAAATATATTGATATCATTGTTTTGTCAAAGATAAGGGACGACAGTACATTTTATACAGATATGGTCTCAGAAACAATTGTATACTTTGAAGGTATTTAAAATTGATTGATGGGTACAGAACAGTTAATTAATTTCAGATCTAATAACACGTCAAAATCGCTAAAAATTATGTGTACAATAAAGATTCCAATGCATTAAAACTATGTAATCTAAAATACAAGATGTTCTTGTGTACGTGATAGTATCGTGAGGTGGCATCTTCATTCATTCATGTGTTTATTACGCAATTAAGCACAAATCGTTAATATTCATGACTTGCGGTACGTTGCTTTGAATAAAACGCATACGTGTATTGAAAATTGGGTCAGCATTGACTAACGCATCGGATAATAAACAAGATTGTCCAAATACTTCGTTACTTTCAACATGGCGCCAAATTAAATGAAAAATGTAGTAGATACTCTTTAGTTAAATGACGTTTCCACTGATGAAATAATTTTAAGACAATAAACGTATGAATGTCAATATGTTTTAATAGTGTGTTTCTATAATGGAAATTCACTGTTTATTCAACCACAAAATCCTACGTACCTAACTTGTACAAACAAAACTCACAATTAGATGATAGAACGTATTTAATTCCTTTTCTACGGCGTTCATTAATATAATAAGTTGTAATTTCAAGAGAAACGAGAATCAAATATTTATCTACGATTCGACAAGTCAATATTAAGTCAAATTAATAGTAACAAAATGTTACGTTAAATAAAAATGTCAAAAAAAATAAATTACGCAAAGATTTGATTCGATTTACACCGCGTCACTTATAACTACTTTTGACAAATAAAACTTCAATAACAGAGAGTCGGGAAATAGATTTTCCGTGGCAATTTCCAATTTAAACTTCCAATGCAAAGTTGTGGAACTAAATTGCGTTGGTATTTTATGTCGACCGGATTATGATGTTCTCTCAATATTATCAGAATATCGCTTAGATCCATTTTCATTTATTCACTTGCCTAGTTGTTACCGAGAATATAAAGACTTTCATTTAAACGAATTATGGATACACACGAACACTATACGAATACCACTAAAATTCTAATTTTCATTTGTAGCTTTCAAAACAATAAGAAATTGTTCCATATAACTTTATCGTGGTTCCAATTAATTTATACATATAATTATAACTTATCTAACTTCTTGTTTCTCGTAATTATATAAACAAACGTAATATAAAACGAGGTTTAAACCTGTTTAAACAGTCTATAGTATCATATTTTAATGGTATCACTACATACTATAGAGCGTCGGTGGCTCAGGGACCAAGCACTTGATTTGCAATCTGCAGGTCCTGGGTTCGAATCCCGCCATGTACCAATGTGTTTTTCGATTTCCGATTTACATATGTATGTTTATGAAATTCAAAGATATGTGTGAAGTCAACTAACCCGCACTTGGCCAGCGTGGTTGACTATTGCCTAATTACCCTTAACTTAGGGTAGGCTCCGAGCCCCTCGTTGGTATAGTAAGCTGATAATGATGATGACTACATACTATGTATAATATTAAACGCCCTCACTACTTCTGATAGAATGCGACGAAAGTAAAAAAACAAAAAATGTTGTTGACCTTTGAACAATTTACATTGTTTGTAATTTCACTAAAGTGGTGTTTTAATTTGGTTATATTCTCATACTAACAACAATTTTACACTTAATTAAAACACACAAGAATAAAAGCTACCTTATAAGCTACTATCTGTATAAAGCCGAGGCGTTTATAAGAATAACATTAATTATGATAATAAAAAGTAGATATATGTATACAAAGCACTCTGTGATCTATGCGAGTGAACAACGCCTCCATACTTTCCCCTAATGAAAGGGCACGAGCATACAATAAGACGTACAAGTACTGTTTTAAAGTAAAGGTCGTCGGAGACAAAAATTAAATACGTGTTTAGAAGTGTTTTATGGGAAAAGTTTAATCGAATTCTCAGAATAACGAACCTTATTAAACGGTTTTCTTAACGTAAATTTGTTGAGTAATAAAATTTCTATATGGTTGGTATGCGTTAACTTATATTAGAAGGCTCTATTCAACTAAACTGCTATAGTTTAATTAGTAGTAGTAGTTATAAGTAATTAACATTAATATAGATTGGATTTGATTATTTTAAACTGAAAGTACACATTTTTAGAGGTATCAGATAGTTAACTCGTAAAATCACTCGCCTCTTTTTATCTTCCCGCTATTATTATGTAAAACCATTTGCAGTTGCATAAATAAATATATTATGAACAAGTGTTTTTATTACTATGCAATATTATAAAATAAAATTAAATTAAATGTACGTGGTCCACTCAATACCATTAGTATTAATACCTCGCTCTACTCTAGTCAATTAAATGCATGATAAATCTATCATTATATTCGCAATGTAATTACGACAGTTGTTAATAAGCGGGGTACGTAGAGCTCACAGATTGCGAAGACAGTAGTACAGCTGTCTGCAATCTGTTGACGTCACTAGCGGTTGCAATGCATGCGATTATCTCCAGACGTTATTACTACACTTTCCTTGCGTTCTCTTAAACCACCGTGAAATGAAATATAAAATACACTTATAAAACTCTTGTGGTATAGTCTGTTGTCAATTTCTCGTGTAATTTATGTCCTAACCATAGTGTTTTATTAATTTGATTTCCACAGATTAGTTTGTATATCTTGGGTGTTTAATTATTCCAGTTTCTACAAACATTATTACACACTTTCGAATTATTATAATCAATCAGTAAATAGTTTTTTTGTGTTGTGTTGTACAGAGTGATTAAATATATTAGTTGCATCAATCTCTGAATTGAAAATTTGGCTGGAATTCAAACTTATAGTTGGTAGAGGGTAGAGTATTAAGACATGACATATTATATTTCAAAAACAGTGATTCATACTGCACGGTGCACAAGACACAAAATTACAGTTACAAAATAATCGCGACCTACTTATTGACTTACCTAGTTTGGTTGTTATGTAAGCGTCCTGTACGGTTAGCAAAACGCACTGTGCAACCGAAGGTAAAAAAATATCATGACACCAATTACGTATTATTTGTCGCTTGCTGACTGTACTTACTCGTAAGTTTACGTAGTAGTAGTATTGCAATATACTTTCAAACAATTTAGAAGGACCTTCCATATTTGCATAGCTTCACTTAATTGGTCACAATTCATTGCAATTTTAGTTGACATATTTCATGATTTCAGTAACATTTTGTAAAGTAGGTACTCTAGTTTAAAGTTTCCAAGCTAAAGCTTGAGTAACTCTAATATTAGTAATTTATGTATAGAATTAAAATTACTATAAGCAGCTCTATTAAAAAATAATTGCGAAAATAAAAGGAAGACAAACTTTGTTGTACGTCATCATCATCATCAAAACTTAATTCCTATATTAAAAATAAGAATAATTATTGTAACTAGAGACACATCATGTGATAAACTATTACGAATACAGGCCTTGTTCATCAGCCAAATCGATGAAAACATAAAAATGTTATTACGCTTTTTCCCTCTCAAGGGACAGAAAAATCAAGATAAATGTACGGAACAAAACATTCTATACACCTGTATATTCAATGTAACCAATTTCATTCCCTTTATGGAAAAACTGGAAGGAACAAACATACATTTCCAATATTTTTTCCCAAATATTAAAATTGGGAAAATGTTTGGATTAGAAGTCGTAAATTTATTATCCGTTAAAAAATAGAATAGAATAACAGTCGTCTCGTACTCTCTAACCGCAATCGCCTATTATGATTTCTATTATTTCTTATTATAAAACAAATATTATCGACATTTTTTGTTAGTCCTATACTATGATACTCGTATATTCGTCATTTGCTGTTTCTTGAAATACTATTTTCGCCATAAAAAATCTTGAAAGACAAACTGAGTTTGTCTCAACTAAGTACAATGAAGTGTCATTGACATGAACAAAACTAAGTTCAGTAAAAAAGATGACTTCTCTTAAATGCCTCATTAAGGTAATAATGTTTGTAGCAAGTTGATAGTTTTTTGTTAAAGCTTTATAACAATGACTTGACTGCTTAAAGGCATTACTTATAATTTCTTTGTATTTCAATGCTTTTACCACTTTATCATGTCTTTATCCCAAAGCGGTAAGGTAATGCAATTTTCATACCATTTATACTTGTAATTTTGACTTCTCTTCTATAAAAAACCGTTTATGTCACCGTCTCGTTATAAGTGGTAATGTAACTTTAACTTACCGACTCGTTTAGCTGATATTTGTCTTGTGGAATAGTTGAAAGGCACATAAATAACTTCATCTATAGCCGCAGCGAGCTTGGCCGGAAACTTGCCCGCTGAATGTATTTCATTCAGACACAACACTTTGTCACTGGCACACCTGTCACTATTCACTGTAGTTAGTTCACGATTCACTGGCAGATTAATGTTTTTATTTGTTTTTTGTAGAGTTTTCCTATCCAATGTCTTATACACTAACTCTGCCACACCTTCAAGATTCTCCTGACAAGACTTCTCAGCTACGACTCTCATTTTGTATACTCCGCTAGCTTTATTAGCGTCTACAACGAAGTCAACTCTCTCTCCTCTAGCAAATGTTATAGCGTCAACTTCCACAGGTTTTATACTAGAACCATCTAATGCAATAATTTTAAGAACATGGTCATCAACAGAAAATTTGATGGGACAACTCTTGGATCCTCCACCGTACATAAGACGGAATCTGTATCTCTTCCCATTTTCAACTGCAAATGTAGTTATAGGAGCATTAGAATATTCGGAAGATCTTCCCTTTCCGTTAATTAGTAATGATTCAGCGTTGGGTGTGTTGGGTGTTACTCCAGCTAACGGTCCCATAGAATGTCCCCATTCAGCTACAAAGATCGTATGTTCAGTAGCGTCTACATCATAAAGTTTCCTTAAGGGATCTAGTCGAGGCGACTGACGCACAATAAACGCACCGGCTAGTCCGTCTGCTGCATCTGCTGCAGAATGCGCATGGTACATATGCGTGCCCACAGATGATGCTCGGAACTTATACTGGAACGTTGTATAAGCGGGCTGCGGGCATTGAGTCAACATTGGCGCACCATCCATGAAAGGAGTCTCCCGCTGTGGCTGTCCACGCCAATGTATTGAAAGGGCATGAGCTGGTGCTCGGTGTACCACATCTACGACGAGGATATCGTTCTGACAGACGTGGAAGGATGGAGCGGGAAGTTCTCTGTTGGCAGCCAATACGCCGCGTTCTCGACCATCTGCTGTTATGCACATCGGAGGACAATCTGTACCGTGTGCTTCGGCGCAGTTATTACAAGATCTGGAAATTATAGTTACTTAAGAAATAATTCTACTGCATACAAATGTAAAATGAAATTAACGCTATTTGTTGAAAAGATAACAAATTTCAGGTGCTTACTTGCTGTATGTTTTGTAAACTTCTATGACTAGTTTTACACGACAAATCATCGGCCAATCCAATTCATGGCATTCACGATCACAGTTTTCAAAATATTCCTCTGCAAAGAAAAAATATAATCAGTATGATTTCAGGCATTATCATAACCCAAAATTTAATTGAACAAGATCCTCAGAACCTATTATATGTATAATTAGAGATCAATTGACTTCAGTAGACACAAAAATGTAAGTAGCCGGTCCCAGCTGTTTCGTTTAAAAATATTATTTAAAAATAAATCAGCAAACAGGAAAGGACATATAAAATTTCCATACCTGGCATCGGCGTATAATAAACAACAACAATTACACCGGCCAATATTACAAACAACACGAGTATCCTCTGCAAGGACATCAGCATGTAGTTAGGTTTCACAATCACATCGCGTGGATTGACGCTTTCCTTCTCCATCTTTTATGGTAAACCTTAACTTCAATTCACTAGTTGAGTACAGCCGCGCAATCGCTTACGACATTTTTGAGTTGCACACCGATTCCTTTACAAGATAGTGACGTCAGAGCGTGACGAGGCGACCATGCGAGCCGACCATTGAGTGGCGACTGGTTGCTGGTTGCGGCTTGGACTTGCGATCCGATCCACTATCTGTTTACATTGCAACATCGAGGTGCAACGGCACGGCGGGCGCGGCGCCTGAGGCTAGTATTTTAACGTCGCTACTCGATGCATTAAGAGGGCTCCAATTCGGAAGTAAATTGGCGAGCCCCGCGAACGAACTCTCTCCACATCGTGACGTAAGTTATTGTGCAACTGCAATTAAAAGACAAGTACAGATGGAAATTGTTGTTAACTTGATTGATGCCATAACTGCCATTAGTTACAATCATACATCTGTTATTATTTTACATTAATAATAGTCACTTAAAAACTAACACACATAATGAGCACTTATTAACACTCGGTAGTTTATTTGCCACTTGACCTGATCTTTAGTACATTAATATTTCTTATTTAATGTAAGAAAACTGGAATTTGCTTTTTTCAAATAAAAACATGTTTTATAAATGTGTAACTACCGAAAAAATTAAATCTAAATTCACACCGAAAAAATAGTTAGACAATAGCAATTCGGTTAATTATTTATTCTTACATTCATTACAAAAACAATTTATTCAAAGTTCAAGTTTAGTTACACAACACGAAGTTTTTATCTTCAAATCTCTCCACATTCGTAAAACAGACCACAAAATATATTTCTACACAAACGAGTCCAGTCGGCGACCCGGCCTTGACGCTATCGACATTAGTAACGCCGTACTCTGAATAATTTGCATGTTTTTGCAATTTACGAGCGTCGCTGTGCCGAAACCGTAAACATACACGAATATAAATATTTTTTACTCCTACCTCTCTTTGAATTCGTATTTATATCTTCCTAAAGCTACAGTGATTAAAATCTGTATTTTTAAAGTAATGTTAAGAAGTATGCTAAAAATATGATGGTTATGACAAATTCATAATCGAAAATAAGGAAAGCTCTACACGAACTGCTTAAAGCGTTATATGACGGCGATTTCTAGTGGTAACTGCAAACCTCGCTCCATGTATGGCACGCTTACATTTATACAAAAGCAACCTGCCGCTAAATGGATAGTGGAACTTATTATCAGATAAAATTGACCACTATAGGAAATCATTAGGACGATGTGAATATAGACGTCGAAGGGGTGCAGGTGGGCTGTAGCTATAGGATTTCGGGCAGTCTACACCTCCCCAAATTATAAAAAAATTCCATGTTGCTACTAGGCCAAAAATTTATCTTAGATTTTGTGCTGGCAACGTCTTTGGTACGATCTGTAAATCTGTTCTACTTTTAATGGTACACATAAATAAAAAAAAACTTAATATAACATATTTTATTAATTCACACAACCTTATTGCCTATGATTATTTATGAATGAATTTAATTTGCTACAAAAAGACTCAAGAAAACTATTCTTACATAACATTGTTCACCTACATATTTATACATTACACTCGTAAAGTAATACACCAATTTCTATACTCGACAGTAAAAAATAATATACCAGTAATCATTTTTCGATTTGGATTTGAATCCGTATCACATGGGATTTCATGCGGATAATTACGTAGGTTACAGTAGGTTACGTAGGGACGTTTAGAAGGAAAACTAATGGCTGCCTCCAACTCCCTTTTTACCCATAATGGTAACATAAAGTACATCCGAGGAGATTGTAAAATTATAATAAAAGATAATTTTATAATAATACCAATAATATGTTTATAAAACGCAAACGAGGATACCTTGCATTAATAAGCAAGATGGTTTACATTTTTATGCAAAAGCTTAGTTACTTTTTCAATCGATAACGATTTAAGAACAAGAACCGTAGACAAGATATATCTGTCAACATCAAAAACGTCAAGAACAAGAACTTGAAATGTTTTAAATTGTTTTGAAATGGTCTCTAATATTTTGTGTTAAATAATTATAGTTTTACTGTATAAAATATAAATCAAGTTCGGTTTTTGTAATTCATTTAATAATGGAGATAACAAGAAAGAACTTTGCTGAGGAATTGGAAAACATAACCAATAATTTGAAACGTTCATGTTTTGTTGGATTCGATGCTGAATTTACTGCTTTACTATCAGGAGAGTGTTTTACGTACAGGTGAGAAGATAATACGAACTCCTAGAAGCTCATCAGTGTCAACTTAATCAATGTTTTTTCTTAACTCAAAAAACTAGAAACTAATTGTTTATCGGATGTTAAGTCTTATTCCTGCCTACAATGCCACTTATATTTCATACTTAAACATATTTTATACCATTTTACAGTAATTTATTTATCAATTTAACCTTCTGGTTACAGACTGTTTGACACCAATGAAGAAAGGTATGATAAAATTAAAGATGAAGTTAGCAAAATGATTATATCACAAGTGGGTCTCACAATGTTCCAGTATGACAGAGACACTGATGGGTATAATGCTATAGGGTATACATTTCACTTGTGCCCACAAGTATTGGGAGATATTGACCAATCATTCATATTTCAAGCATCTACACTCAAGTTTCTGTGTAAACATAATTTTAATTTTAATAAGGTAAGCATGAATTGATCCCAATAATGTATCCCATGGGAGATGAGACTCTTTTTATCAAATGGAAGTGTATAGTGAATCACCTAAAAGTAATTTTGCCAATATTTCAACTTGTTTCTTTTTTAATTTCAGTTCATTTATGAGGGTATTCCATATTTATCAAAAGTTGAAGAAGATGAAATCATTCAACAAATAAAAAACAATAATCTTGCTAGCTATCTAACTAGTGCATTAGAAATTGAAGAAGAAAAGGAATTACAATATTATAGCAATAAAGTCAGTGAGTAAGTGAAAGTGTACCTAATTATGAACAAAGGTTCAGTTTTGTACTAGATTAAAAATATAAATCTATGTTGGAAATGTTATGAAAATTTAAATTATATTATGTCAATAGATGGCAGACCGTATTACTAGATCACGGTATTAATTTATTTAGTATATTTATCGACTTGCCGATTGCATTTCATTAAAATTGACTCGCACCAAGATATAACCAGTGTTTTATTGTGATTACTCGATGCATCTCCAGTGAGAAGGAGTCTTTTTGAGACTGCTTTATACTATGATGTCATTTCATTTTGTGTTTTTTTAATGGTTTATTTAATTCCATTAATTTGTAAGATATTGAACAATAATATTTTGCATGTTTTCAGAACAAAAGCATTTTTGTACTCTTTAACTTTTCCACACCAATGGAAGTTCATAATAGGAAATTAGTTCATAATATTTCTAGTCTGATATTAAACTGAAGTTCACAATTGGACGGTTAAAAAACTTAACAACTATATGTTATTCACAATAACATCATAACAAATATGGCTTTTAAAATCAACAGTTTTTTATTGATGTTTTTTTTTCTTTCCAGTTGGCTCCACAGCAGTGAAGATGGAACAATGTATATAGATGTACAGAACCCAATACAAAGATACCTCATACATACAGAGCTTCGGCAAAGGTTCCCCAATATTCTTACAACTGATAGCTTAGGTAATAGCAATAAGGTAATTTTGTAGCTTAAAAATAATAAATAGAAGTATGTATGTATTAAATTTAGATAACCTTATCATTCTTAACTAAAATTAAATATGAATAATTATTAATGAATAGCTATCGACAGCCATTTTTAATTCTTAACTACATACCTGTAAAATTAAAAAAAAACTTAATTATTAGCCTATGCCTTCCCGGATATATTCTACTTCTATGCCAAATTTCAGCAAGATCCATGCAGCCGTACTTTCTATCAAACATCCATCCATACATCCAAACATTTGCATTTATAATATTAGTAACATTACTTTTGTACTTAGAACCAAATGTCAATTAAAAATGACAATTTTATGCTACATTCTACTATAAAATATGGTCAGTACACATGTAATGGAACCTGATAACTTTCTCTCTCTTGTACAAAGATAATGACAGGGATGGCAATAGTATCGTAATATAACTGTCACACAAGTGGAGACTCACCATTAGAGAAGAGGAAAAAACACATTCTATAACATTTTTTTTAACTTATTTTAAATTGTTTTCTTTCTTTTTTTCAGATTCTAATATATCGAGATAAAAGTATAGAAGGTGCTAACAGCGCACCAATGGAGACATTAGAGAAGAATTTAGTTGACAAATTATTAGGATTTTCACACATAATACAATTGTTAGTTCAACACAAAAAACCAATAATCGGTCATAATATATTTATGGATTTATTACTTTTACACAATCAATTTATAGGGCCATTGCCTAAAAAGTATTGTGTTTTTAAAAAGAATATACACAGTATGTTCCCAGTTGTTTATGATACTAAATATATTTCACATGAAATGGGCAAGAAATTAACTTTGGATGAAGTGTGGCAATCAAATATATTACAAGAGTAAGTTCATTTTATCCTTTATTTTATAATAACACTAACTGTCGCCCTCGGGTCCGTCCGCGGTGTTAAAAAAACTTAATTAATAGCCTATATTTCCGTTCAGACTATGTCCTACATCTATGCCGAATTTCAACGAGAACCATGCAGCCGTTCTGGAGATACCTTCTAACAAACATCCATCCGTCCATCCAAACATTTGCATTTACAATATTAGTAAGATTTTATAAATATACTTAAAACTACTAACTACTAAACTATCTCTTAATATCGAATGTCTTTTTTAATATAGAATGAGTAGAAAAGACATTTTTATACAAATGTTTTCAACTCTTTTTTTTACAGTTTATATGAATTTTTCGCTAAAAGAAAATGCAAAAAGCTGCAAAATGGAATAAACTTTATAACGTTAATTGCTCCTTTTAATGTGAACCAATCATATCACGAGGCTGGCTGGGACTCTTACTGTTCAGGTAATAAGGTTGATTGTTGCAAACACGTAAAGGATTACAACTTTATAACATACTAGAATCATCTATTAAAATGTAAATTTATTTAATTTAAATCAAAGATAGCTCAATACATTTTAGATTTAAATAAAAAGTAAATCAATAACTAACAATAACAGCTATTTAATATATTTTATTCTGTATTTTGTATAATATTGTTTGCATGTAAAGTTACTTTTTCTTTATCTGTTGAGAATTAAACCTTTAAAAACATAGAATACTGTATGTAAACAATGCTTTAGTTATTATTTCTAACATTATTAGTTTCAACTAATAACTATTTACTTGATGAAACTTGTTTTATATACATTTTATTTCAAACATACTGTAGTAGAAAGCGATAGTTCCTCAACTCCAAGTATTTTGCACGAGAAGTTGCCAGATCTATGTAGATCCTCGGTAATCCATTATGGAGATTCTAAGTGACAGTTAACCCATTGTCCAGGGTTCTGCTTCATCAGGCTGGGTCATTGGGCGGCTTGCGATAACATGGGAGTATACCGGCCGGTGGGGCCTACAGAGAAACTAGCCGCCCTCGCCCCATACTGCAACAAAGTCAATGTCATACGAGGCGCCACGCCCTACATGGTATATTAATCAAATACTAGCTGTCGCCCGCGACTCCGTACCCGCAAAAATAATCTTAGTAGCCTATGTTTTCTTCCAGGCTACGTTCTACGTGTTTGCCAAATTTTAGCGAGATCTATGCAGCCTTCTAAAGTACAACCATCCATCCATGCATCCAAACATTCGCATTTATAATATTAGTAAGATATTTTAAAGATAACATACGTAAAAAAGCAAAGAA